CATGAAGATTATTTTTTGACGTATATTTATACGCCTGCATGATGTAATTAATTTTGACAGATGAACCTGCTCCATTGGGCAAAAAAAAAAATAACATTTTATGTTGTCGACAGGTGCTGTGAAGTTTGGGGACAAGCTCTCCTGGGATGAGTGTGCAAGTTTGATGCGTGATCTAGCCAAGTGTCAGCTGCCCTTTCAGTGTGCCCATGGACGTCCGGCCATGATGCCCTTAGCCAATCTTCACCATCTGCCTGTAGTGTGCAACATGCAGGTGATTATCAAAAGATTGTTTAATTCTGCATATGTTTAAGTTTGCTGTTTACTTCTTTTATATATAAAAAATATATATACAAATATACATTTTCTATGACACATACTTCTGACATCTGTACTGTAAAATCTACATGAAATCACCATTAAAATTAAAGTTTTTTCACGTAAAATTTAATATGGATGTCATCCATATGGTGTTTTTACTGAAAATATAATTTAACCCAAAACAGTAACTTTATGTTGATTAAACTCAATATTAAAATTCCACCAGATGGCAGCCTTCACTGCTGTAATGAGTTTTGCAACATTATCCCCCTTTAAAAAAAACCCATGAAAAATGTAGTCGGCAACTCTCATGTATATTTAAAATAAATAAAAAACTGCATTGTAAAAATAAAAGTTAATTGTACAACAACATTTACCCATTTATTTGTCTTGACAGAAACCGTGCAAGCCAAATCTATCAGGACTAAGAAAACAGATTGGATTACCAAAGAGTGTCAAGACGAAAGACTAAAATTCATTATTTGCATAATGAGATATCGATCATTTGTATGAAAGCAGCACTTTTGTGTGTTATTTTTGGTATTTGTGGAAATACAGTGCAATATAGTATGTATATTAAGATTAAGGAATGGAAAAAATATATTCATTTAGAGAAAAGCACTTGTTGATATTTAGTGGTATCAATTGATGATGTAAATACTGTATGCAATTATTACTTTCTAATTTTAAAGAATGTATGTTTCCAGTGATTGAATATTCTTTTTCTCATCAAACTAATTTAAAATAACCCGAGTAGCTAGTATTAGTTGCTGAACTCGTGGAGTGTTGAGAATATTTTTTTGGAAATGTAATGTTTTCACTGTCATAAGTTATCCTTCCAGTTAAAACAAAATACTTCCATATTGTGCGTATTTACAGTATACACTTCCATGTACTTATAATCTTTTGTTGACGAGTTGTGTTATGAGTTATTTAGTTTTTTTGTAGTTTTATTGCACTTACAATGTAAAAAAAATAATTCAAAACATGGTACATGTGAGCCTTTTCAGGTATATTGAAAATTAGTTATGAAACACATTTCACCAACTCTCCAAAAACCCTTTTACAGTATGTTATATCATTGAATCAGGATTCACATTTTTCTACCAGAATTTAACTCTGCAACGTTGACGTTCGACCTGGAAATGTCACCCTTGTTTTGATACGAGCGTTTCTACTGTATGCGTAAACTTTGTGTGTTTGTGTACCACAAGAGTTAAAATAAAATTGCGTCAAAAGTCAGGAAATATTTTCTACACTAAAAATATCCTGTCGTTTCTTCAACAGTATTGGTGAATGGGTACGCTGTTTACACAATTCACTGCATTAATTTATATTGTGGGGTGAATGGTAGGGGTACAATGGTGGGTGCAGTTGTCAGTGTTATGTACCCGGTGACCTGAGTTTAATTCGTGGCAATAGCTAACATAAGTGGCGAGCGAACTCAGTCATGTGTACCCCACCACACACTTGATCAACCTGCACTGACCATCGTGGCAAATTATAGTCAAACAACTCATATGATGTGTGGTGGCCTTCATCCAGCAGTAGTTTAACAAACGGCTTTAAACATGTATTTAATTATTCACGACACATTGTATTTTACATCAATTAAAGGAAATTCCAAGATCGTGCAAACTGTAAGTTTATTATAAATTAATAAGCAGTTAGGGTCAATAAGCTGTTGACACAGATTCAAGTGCTGGCTACAACTTGATGTCATTTTCAGTGAAAGCCCTTTCAGGTCCATATGATGTAAGTGCAATTGGATATGAAATATTGCAAATATATGATGTATTCCCAGTGTTTGGCCATGTCAGCAAATCGGATAGGTATGACAGTACCAGCTGCTGGCATACCTCGGGTTAATTTAAATGGTGTTTTGTCATTGTAAACTGCCTACTGTGACATTTTTTGGCATGAGCCAAGAGGGACATGGGAGTATACTGGCATATGTTCACTGCTGGTTGAAATGGAAGTTTAAATATATTGGTGGAATTGTATGCACTGAATTTACCTTTAATACAATACTCAACGTGCATTTTGCATTTTGGCACACATTACAGCAATGTAAATGGGGAATAACTTAATGCATGTCGACGTAAATAAGCCAGCTTTAAATATGAAAATTAAATGGAATGGGCAATTTTTTAAAATTTGAAACCAATTAGTGTTGAATTACTAAGAGTAAGAAAGCTTTTATTATTTAAAAACAATGCAAGAGACAGCCTTAATTTAACTTGAAAAAAAATGAATACGAACATATATTTAGGTCATAAAGGCTATACAAAGTTTTTAGGTACTGAGCGGTATGTACCCATTTTATATAATTGCACGCATATTGCATTGCAATGTTCAGATGTCATCAGTATACAGTCAAGCTAAATGTACTTGAACTACACATATACACACCAGTTTCCTCTTCTTTGGTTCTTTCGGTAAAGTCACGTAGAATGAGAATAAAATAATAAATTGATAAAATAACAATAAAATTCTCACGACGTTTCGGCCACAACACAAGCGGCCTTCATCAGGTGAAGGGGCGAAAGCTTTAAATCGAAATTTACACACCAGTTTGTCAATAAAATTTGTCTTTTTTTTACATTTCAACCTCGACTACAGTTTTGAGTGAGGTATATCACTGATACGCACCGAGGGAGTCTTGTATCACATGCACCCCTGCTTCCAAAATAATTACAAGCTTGTAACATGACACGCTTTTTGTGACCGTGTATTTCAAGTCGATCTTGGGTGTACTTGGCTTGAAATATTACGATTACTGCATTTCTCTATGTTAAGGCAACAAATCTGATAGATTAAATGGTCGTACATAAATAGCTGCATTAAATCTGGTATTTCGATACGATTACTGACGATAATAGAAGCATAACATTTGCAAATACGAAATGTCACTCGTTATAATAAACTTTAAAAAGAAAAATCCAAACTGAATTTTAATATTCTTTTTTTTTAGTGATGAGAAATTCTCAACATGCAGAGAGGCATTTTCTCGGGGTTAATACAAAAACGTCCGTGTACAATGTGTTGAAATTGAAAGACATCAAGTGGCATTTGACTATCATCAACCAGTTGCACTTTTTTTCCGAATTCACGCATCACAGATTGTGCGACCCATTGCTTCCTATCTCTCGTGTATTTTATTAACCTCATCTCCACCGTTACATTCATACGTCGTGCCCTTCTTAATGATCTCTAAAGTGCCTTGGTTAAGGCGCATTATAAATTGCGTTAAGATAAGATACGCACTTTCTGACTACACAATGGTCAACTTATGCAGTCACATTTCCTTTGTCCACTTTCTCTTGCCACCGCAGGTCAAGTTTCAGATTGAAAACTGCTCCAATTTATGATTTTTTGTAAATCACATAATGGTATGCAAAACTTTTATCCAATATAATATTTTATCCAATATAATATCTTTAGTATAACTCGGTGATTTAGCGAGTATCACCGAGTTTTGAATTTGGTCTGACAGTGTGAATGGTAAATGCGCTTTCAAAATTAAATTACTTGTGAGGTGCTGGGTTGGCAGTGGTGTTACAAGGCACAGTTAACCAAACACTTTGTCACTAAGTATGCCTTAAAAGAAACAAATATATAATCGGCCACGTTTTCGGGCAACATCCCCTCATACGTAACATTTTATGTTTTCCCATTAAAGGAAGAGTTATTGACGAATGTGTTGAGGTTGTTTCTGTTAATTGTGCACTTTAAGGCATGCTTACAAAATACGCATGAAAGCGCAAATGTAAGCTGCACAGGGCGAATTTAACAAGCAGTAAAGCCATCTCTCTGAAGACATTAAACAAAGTAGTATAATTTAACGCGTTATTACTGCACAGTGGATGAGGGGCACGTGAAATGTCTATATAACTATCTGTAAGTCTGCACCGGAAACCACAACGAACTCTTCATTTAACCAAATGATGGCCCTGTATTACATTTGCTGTCAACCCATACGGTTTATCCGTATACTTGTACGGGGAAATTTAATTTTCTTGTCCATACGGCGTAAAGCCGTTTCAATAAGAACAAAATCATTACCTACGTGACTTTACCGAATAGAACCAAAGAGTATGGATCCTTGCAGTCACGAAAGCTTCAAATCTAGAACAAAATCATTGTCTTATTTGTTTGTGTTTCTCCCTCGTGGGGGACTTTGTAGGACGAACGTTGAGATTCATAAGGGGCACGGGGTGACCAATAAGGTCTGAATAGGTCTGTAATAAGGTAGGGGAGGGCAGTGATAAGGGCTTGACGGGTATGCTGCAAAGATATTTATTGGCTGTGCGTCTGACCCCCGGACTGTTATCGGCCGGAACCTTTCCACGCGCTGGTTGGGGCGCGGCGGAAGATTTCGCTGCGCGGACGTGTGCGGGGCCTAGGGCCCAAGTTCCCAGTCTGCGAGAGGCCGTGAGCTCTTAATGTAATAAATTATCACTGACGTTGAAAGGCGCAACATTTGTATGCAGTAAATTAAGTTAAGCAATGGTAATCGTAGCACTGCGCGTCTGACAAAGACGAGGTCGGCGACCGCCCGGCCTCGGCAGCGAGGTCGAAGCGCTCAGCCTAACGTGGTTTCATGTAATGTAAAGTTTAACAATGATTGGGAATCGTTTAACATAGCAAGTAATGTACAATGCTAGGCTATTTATGTACGCACTACACTCTATTTGATATTGCATGGTAGTATACGTAAACATGTACTAGCACTACTGTTAAGTGCCGCGGTATTGCATAGTATATGAATTGTGTTGTATAGTTTATAACTACACTTATCTTACTGTAGGTTACTGTGTGTAAACTGGTGTACTGCCTTATGCACGTTTATGTACCGACAGTATTACTCCTACCAACCTCAATCTGTGCACTGATAGTAAAATTTAAAGGTGCAGCCCTGTAATTCAGAATCGGAATATTTACATATACTTGAGGAATCCGATGAGCTATAAAGCTCTTTTTCACAGATGTCGAGTAGGGGCGGGTCAGAAAGTAACAACAATAAACATTACAGGAGGGCAAAATGTAGATTCCCTGCTCACGCCACTGCTGGCCAAAGTGCTTCCACTCGAGGGTGTTTGGTCTACTCTTCCACGCTGACCAGACGTCTTGGTGGGAGTGCCCACAGTGTTAGAACCATAGTTTAATACGGTACTGTATGCGGGTTAATGTATATTTAATGTGCACATCTTTGATGCGAAACTAAATGTAAAGTGCCGATTATGCGTACAAAAAAATGCAACACTTTCGTCAAAATTACATATTGCCTTAAAAAGGAAAACCATATATAGGCGACGTTTTGGACAGTGGCCCGTTTATGGCGCATACAAAATATTTATATGTTTAACGCAATGTTATTGACGAACGTGAGATTTCTTTGTTTATTATGCACCGACTACATAGTGTATACACCTCGATTTTACTAGTTATTTCTCTTTTTTCCTATTTATCAATACGGTATTGGTTGCCACAGTTATTCCATTTAGTCCAGAAACTTTGCATTTTTTTCATACTGTAAATAACGGTGGCTTTTCTTCAAGCGTGACATCTAGAACATTGTTTTCTCAGATATATTAATGTGCTATAACTATCTCTGTAGTAATCCAGTGTTTATGGGTCTTTCTTACTTTTATGCTCTTATTTATTGATGACGTCTGCAATTGCATTTGTGTTCTCCGATATTTCTCATTCTTTTCCTATTTACAGGGTGGTTTCAGATAATGTGTTCTCTGCCATTTTTTACCTTGCCCCCAATACGTAGTATACTTGGGTGTTTCATGATTTAAAGTGCTGACATCCATTTAATCATTTACTTTTCGTGGTATTTTAATCTGTTGCGTATCGTATATATTTAGATATACATCCTATACTATACCACATGCTGTTAATAATCTTGTTTCTGCATGCAGGCGGCGTTGTCTTTGCTGAAGTGTACCTTGGAATTCGTCAGTCTAGTCACTTCCGATGTTGAAATTGCTGACATTTTACAGTCTGGTTTACGTCCATTATAATCAAGTTTTAATTCTCATTGCGGGCTCTTCCATGTCCATTTCCAAGATTCCTTTTTGAAAACGATGTTCATCATCTTCAAGATGCTGCTGGCTACAAAGTCTAAGCACCATTCTCTTTAATTTCAGAATCAGAATCTTTACTTGAGGAATCCGATTTCTCCAATGCAGTACAAATCTTACCTAGAATTCTCTTGTCTGGTCATTTTAACTACGGTACTTTTGTTTGAAAGTCACATTCACATTATAAACCGTGTTATTGTTTATTCATATATTTTTGCCTATTAATGTGCAAATACTCTATATGCCACAACATGTTTTTAATTTATAAAAATTACCAAGTGCATATTTATAATATTCAGTCCTAGGAATATAATACTTTGTTAAATAACACAACCCTGTACTGGTCAAAATACTTTACATATTACTTCTACTTTACATACATTTTTGTAATCCTCTGGACATATAGATCACTAATATTTTACATAGCACTGTGGTCGATATTTTTGGCATAACAGTTAATCGTAATTTTGATACGTGTTAACCTGTGAAAAGAATAAGGCATCATAATTAGCCATTGATTTTTCAACACTGTGCTGAATGAAGTCATAAACAAAGCAAATTCTTGTAAATCTTTCAGGGCTTTGTGTGCCATCACTTTGGGAAAACAACAGTAACAACGAAAGGCAAAACAGCAGGGACAAGATGATGAGGTACTGGGGGGAGATCCCAGTGTCTCCCAGTCAGTCACTGCGCAGTGCTGTGGAGCTGCTCCAGCCTGAGCCCCGTGCGGCAGAGGTGCGGGAGCCGGCAATGCTGCAGCCTTGCGCAGTCAGCCCAGCCCGGACCACTGACTCTGGGGTGCCTGGACTGCACGTCACACACACCATCCGCCTGCTGCAGTACAACCGGCGCCTGCGTGGGCTTATCAGTAGCGCCCAGCAGCAGCAGCAGCAGGGGGCAGGTGAGGTGGTGAAGAGCGAGGAGGTGGAACCACTGCCCTCACTGCCCAGCCCCCCACCGCTGCCCGAAGAGCTCGCTTCCATGGGCACTGAGCTTGGCAGCAGCAACCTGGGAGGCTCAACGCTCAGAATGCGGCTCCGTGACCCGGACATGGAGACGGGTGATTTTTACAGGTCCGTCCACTCTTTATATTGCATCTTTATTATGAAATAGGTGTCAGCATTGGCAGCTCAGTATGCTGGTGGTCATAGCCTTTGCGAAGTGGTGAGCCATTTTGTACAGTGAATGGTTGAAGTTGTGCATTCCCTGTCTTTAATTTTACATGTAATGCGTATGTGCAGAGGCTGTGGAGAACCAGTGATGGAGGTGAGCTCTGCTGAGAATCGCCAGCTGCTGCACAGAGCTGTGGTAACGGCACTGGCACATGCTGGCTTTGATACTGCTATGGAGTCAACACTAGAGACCCTAACGGACATTACCCATGAATTTATGCTCAAACTGACGAAGCTGCTTCGTGTAACAGTGGACCGGGAAGCACAGACGGGCCAGACAGGCTTTCCCGATGCCATAGAGCAAGTGTTCCAGGAGACGGGGCTGGGCAGCGTTCTGGATCTCCAGGAGTTCTGGCAGGAGCGTGTGGTCGACTACCACGCTTATGTGCTCTCAGCGAGCAGGCACTTGGCAGAGGAGTACGAGAGGCTGCTTAACCCTGAAAGGTGAGTTCCAGTACAACTGGCAGTCATTGTAATTATATCATCAAATAAGGGTATTACTGGTTGTGCTGTACGGACTACCAAATATTCGTTACAATGGGTGTATACCAGCATATTTTTTTGTACAAGAAGTCCTGAAACAACAATGATCTAATTTAGTTATTCTTTAAATGTCTGCGATGTAATCTTAATAATCTGGTATTTCATAAACTGCCTTTTTTGGTGTTAGGGTATTGTCCACGATGCTACGTGTGAAGGAGGAACCATTGGGAGAGCAGATCAGTTTCCCTGTGAGCGAAGAAAGTGAAACTGAGCAAACAGCTGCCGATCAACAGCCGTTGCAGTTAGAAATTGAGGGCCCAGAACAATCCAGCAGCAATGCAGGTAGAGCATCAACATTCATCATTGTCACTCAAAGTAAATTGTTGTGTATTCCTACTTTGTCCTTAATACTTTTAGCATAACGCCTTGTACCTGTCACATGAATACGTTCCATATTTGACATCTATTATTCATGTACTTCGAAAAATAACTTACCGTATCATTTTGTTTTACATAACAGGCACAGACAGTGGAGGGGATGTGTCGCCTATATGGAGCCTGGTGCAGGTGAAGGCAGAGCCTCAGGAGTCAGATGAGCCTCCTCCAGGCGTGTTGGTTGGCTGTGAAGGTGGCTTTGATGAGCCAATGTCAGCTCTGAGTGAAAGTGGCATTGCACTGACACCCAATACCACTACTTCAGATGGCAGCCACTTGTGTCCCACACCGGACAGCATCGCAACAGCATCTCCACCTATGTTTGGACAAAGGCAGCGTAAAAAGTTCAAAAAGATGTGAAGCACGCTTGGCTGTGCCAGATCAAGATGGACTCTCTGCTCTGGTGGCAGGAACAGTTGCAAGTGACTGACTGGGGTGGAGGGTGCCACAAGCCCATTGCTGGTCAAGCACAGATGCAGTAGAAGTAGGAATGATAGAACAAGTAATGCATTATCATCATCATCTGCCATGATAATTTCACTACTGGATTAAATTATTCCCAAGCCACCACTATCTCTCATAGTCCTGCAATCGCAGCATGCCATATAGCACCTACACATGATCTGATGTCATCTGCACCGCCGTGTTCTTTAATTTTGCTGCCACTCCGTTGTGAGTCTTGGCTACTGGCCATCTTTCCTTCTTGCATTGCCTTTGTTTTCTCTACCGTCAAGATGTCTAACCTGACTATGTTCACTGATGCAGGCTTTCGGCTTCCTTTCTCTGTAAATACCAGCATGCACCTCTCTATGCTTTGAATGTGACATTTGATTTCAGATAAAAACAAAGAAACCTGATCATAGCAAATTATACATTTACCATGTAATATTATTTCGTGTAATGTATGTTAGTTTGAAAAACTGCCAGTCTAAAATAGTTTTACATTCAAAGAACAGTTGTTTTATAGTATTAATTCATCTATAATATGCATACTATTTACGAGTCAATTGTGTCTGAAAAACTGGTAAAAGAAACGCAAGTCATTTCATTGTAAAATATATTGGTGAAAATGCAACCACGAACAGTCAAATCCCCACTTGGAAAAATGCATGATTACCTGCATAATTCACCCGATGTGTTAAAGTGTTATATTCCTTAAACCGATTGTAATGGGTGATATTATGCAACCCTTATGAGTCAATATGCATTGTCCTTTGGCTTACCTGGAGTGAGTAGATGTGGCTTAATGGTTATCATTCCGCTTTGTCTTGGGTAATATAGAACAATTCTTACATTCTAAGCTCTCTTTGGAAATGTTGAGGAAACGCCAATTTTAGTTAATGGTGTTATTAATTTTGAACTGAGAAACAGCTTTGGAGATGTTATTTGCACCAATTATTTGACATTAAAAAGAAGAGCTTGGATGCTGCATGGATTTTCACCGATTCCACTTACAAATACCACAAATCTGGCTGTCGCCTGATGAAGCTAGTTGTAATTACTGGCGAAACGTCGTACTCCAATTGTAAATGTTGTGGCTTGGCTCTCCAACACACCGGTGTGCTGTACTAGTGACGAATTGGCATGTTCTGTTTACGTGACAACCCTTACTAGTTGGCTGTGTCGGGTGGTGTCGGGTTTTAACGACACATTTGTATATTTACACGATCTAACCCAAAAACCTCTTATGGGATGATATTGGTCGCGAAAGCCTACGTGTTAAAGTTACGTGAAATAAGTTAAATATTAAGGTTTGTAGAGTGCAGTGCATACATTAATATTTGTAACGATACTTTTAAATGTTGTCTTTGCCTCTTGAAGAATTTGTGGGCGTTGTACTCAAATGTAAGCTACTGTGTTTATTGTCGTCTGCTCTCCAGTGCCTCCTTTTGGTTTAATAATCATTGAACCGTTGTTGGCCAGGTTATTTTTATGATTGTAACAAGGATTTATTCAAATGGGAGTAAAAGAAAATAGAGAAAATAATTCTAGTGCCATTAAAATTAACTGATTAGATAAATGAAAGTGTCTAGCATGTACATTCTCATTAATACTAAAGTTTTGTATTAATAATAATGTATTGTAATCAATGATTAACTTAGGATCATTAGGTAGGTTTCATAAAATGCCAGTTTTTTGGTCAGAAGCAACATTCATTTTACACTTTGCTGCTCAGCTTGACCTGAAGCTCAGAAATATTCATCATCTCGGTGTGTTGGACTGCTACGATGCATTTCCAATTTGTGTTCATAAATAAAACAGTATGGAATGATTTCCGACAGCGCATTTGACACGGTTCATGTGCTTTGTATTTATTGCTTCGAACATATTTTTCATAATAATGCGTTTCTTTCAAACATACCATTTTTCTATTAGTAATTGTCGTAAATCTATTTTTTTTTTAGGATCCTTTGATCGGTGTATAAAAAGGAAATAAGCAGATGCTCTGCATTGGGATTTGTGCTGTAAAACTCTGAGAGCGCTGGCTCCTGATTGCAGCGCAGTAACTGTTTTTGACAGTAGATGGTGCACAACATCAGCCTGGAGAGCCCAACCACGCCGAAGTAAAAATCCTCAGGTTACCACATCTGTACAATCATGCTAAAATATCACAGCTATGATTAGTGTCTAAAAAAAAATGCGAGCATGTCTGTAAAAACTGGCGACTTCTTTTAGCTGTTTGTACGATGTGTAAATCCAGTGTTAAAACCAGCTACAGGTAACTCATTAGCCTGAAGACACAAACATGTTTGTACTCCGTTTATACTTTATACGTAAATTGTTTCACACGACTTAATGTGGCATACTGACAGTGTTATACAAACGTTGATGCACTGTATTGTAGTGGCATATGTCAAGATTTCTGTACTGCATTTCTAAAAGGCTACAGGCACACCGTCACCCGTATGCTGTGTGTAATATCCTATAGCATTACATTGTGCATATTGACATTTAACAAATAATGTATACAGGAGAGTGTGGGTTCGATCCCGACCCTGACACTTGAATATTTGGAGTTTCCATGTCTCTCTCCCCGTGGTCGCGTGGATTTTTCTCCGGGTCCTCCAGTTTTTCCCTCCACATTTACAGTGTTTCAAGTATTATTAGCTGCCATAAATTTCCAGATGATAAGCCACTTCGTTGAGCTGTCATTTGTGATAGCTAGGTCGTTTCTGCGAAAGAGCTATAAAGCTCAGTGGGCGTTAAGTAAGTTAATAGCAATCATGAACATTGTCTATTTTCGGTCAACAATATTTCCTCTAATATTATAGGGGACTTTGATTTATTTTAAACAATCCCCCTCTCTTCAGTCTTTGTTTTAGACGACACATTGCTACCATGAAACCCATTGTCTTGGTTGCATTTAGCACATCTTCGTCATGGTGCAGTGCATACAATAACATACGACTACTGTAGCAACATTTTGTATGTTTAAGTCTATGAGAATTTAGACATCAAATCTGAAACGAGCAATCCGCTTTACTGCACGTGGAACATTCTACAGTGTTATTACTTATCACACAGATAAAATTAGATAAAAGTGTTGGCAATGTGCTGTATTATATGTTTCAGTGCGTACAGTATTGGGTCAGTTGCCCGTTTACAAAATCAAAATGAGATTTTACACTTGTGAAACGTGTTTTTATATTTTTTCAGGTAAACTTTGTAAACATTGCAATCGGATGTTTATGTTTAATCCCTTTAAAAGGGGTTAAGGTATTTTCAGTGATGTTAGCATGCAGCTTATGGAAATGCGCCCATTTGCCTTTTAAAGCAACTGAATAATTTGTAGAATAGCATTTGTTTGGTGGTAATCTGAAGAATAAAGTGCACAAGGTCAGTAGGGAAATGTTTATAGCATTTTAGTCACCAACAGACTTATCTGTAGGGAAGTCCACGTTTCCGTTCAGTGCACCGAAAAGCCTTTACAAGACAATAACAACCAACAAACGTATATATTTGTCAATTTATTAAATAATGTATTTGGTAGTAAAGGCACCCTGAGAATGTTGACAGTTTTACGGCATAAAATATACGTTTACATAAATCTTAGTTTTACATGATTCCTTTATTTATGGTTTCAAGTAAAGCGTATATTTAAAAGAATGTTTTTTTGTAAGATGTATTGCTTAAATGTCATAGGCCTCTATGTGATTGTAGTCTTAATTTAGATTATTACCATATGATGATGAAAAAAGTTGCTTATTTCAAAGCACACATTACCACAAAGAAATTATACCAATTATCTGTAACAAATAAAATCGCCAATGGGCTTACGATGTGTGTGTAATCCATGGCAATACCATTACTATAATTTAAGTTAAATATCTAAAAAGGTTTCATGTATTACTATAACATAATTTAACAATTTAAATATATATACAGTATTGGTTCAGTATTAAGCAGTTGTACACATTTGCTTAACAATTGAAGATATCTAAAGCAATAACCAGCAATCTAGATTTGAAGCTTTCGTGACTACCTACGTGACTTTACCGAAATAACCAGAGTAATAACCAGCAAGTAAATGCATCACAGTAGTTATGCCTAGGGCAGGTATCTAGAACAGTTATTAAAGGCACACAAACATCACCTTAAAATAAAAGTGGACAAGAGTGGGTTGGATTAATTTTGAATTACTATTTTAATAATACAAAGCAACATACCAATGTGCCTCACGAGGAAGTGTTCAATCAGTGTATATTACCTGCTTTTGACATATCGAACAGAAGCATGGACATTGACAAATAAAATTGAACATTCCTTAAAAATTGCAGCTTGGAAATACACTGATTTTATTACTGCTTGGAATGACACAGAGAAAGGAACACATTGGTTACAGGACATACAAACCAGAGACAATAAAAAAGTGGTTTTGGTTAGAACACATCGCGAGAAGGGATGATAGGGAAAACATCCAAGAGACTACCACCACCACCATAGAGATGGTATTCTAAAGTTATCTTGCGTGCATGGTTTATTGCATTGCAAAACCATGAATTGATCATGGCTGGTGATGCAATTGCACGACCTTAAAAGATACAATCTGAGCCATTAACTAATTACTGATGCTTTGTAGTGTAACAACTTTGCACAGATGGATGCCTAAATAGGTTTATTATAATTTTGGAAAATGAGGACACAATTCACTGACACTGAAGGGCTTTGTGGCTGCAAATGCAGAATTTCAATATTCCATTATGCACGATTAAGCAATTAACTCATCACTGACATACACGGTTTCAGAGTGCATTCATCGCCAATTTGAAAAAAACTGTTGAAAGCAAATAAAAGCTGCTCGATTCTAAAATATGAGTCGACATCGATATGTTTTGTTTATTTCATGTATCTACTTCCCATATAGTTTTTCAAAGCAATTTTAGATTGTTGTGACATGAAAATTACTGTTTGAAAAATCATGCTATTTTATATATTTTTTTAGAGATATTTCCGGGATAATTTAGTGTTTTACTACCTCATACCCTAACCCAGGATTTAGTGGGAAATGTATAAGTTGGTTGAAACCATTTGTTTTCATGTTTATCCACATGCATATTTGTTGAACTTTTATGTAGCCAACACAATATGCATAAAACTGACGCCGTTATTGAAAGTGCAATAATTTGCATATTCAATGAAGCTGTGCGTTCCAATATTTGTCAAATTTGAACACTTGTTTTTAAAGAATACGATTAAGCATTAAAATAGTCGACTATAATGCCAGCACTAATAGATGTAGGATTGAAATATGTATCGACAGTCACCCCCAGTTAACACTACACATGAACATCGATTACTTTGGAAAATACAAATTCACTTCATTGTGTTTCACAATATGGAAATTCAAATATTAGCAGTCATCTGAAAATGTAATCTTATTTTAGATGGATTTAAAAAAATAAATTTGTCAAGGCAGTAAGATTTATAATTGTGCAATTCATATTTTTTTCAGTAATGGCTTAGGATGTGATTGTGGATAACTGGGAAGTTTATAGATACTTAAATGTTTTTCTATTGACTGCAGTATTTGTGAAAAAGTTAAAAACTGCAGATGTAAAAACAAATTGTCTTACATGTGATTCAATTCTCTGACGATGCTGGAATGTGGAAGTGCCGCCCACTACTGGTTCAGGGACAAATGTAGATAAATTCAGCTTCATTGCTTGTTTAAGCAGGAATACTATTGGCATTTTAAATGTACGAAGACTTTCTCAAATTTGTTTACCGGAACGGTGTGTCATGTTTCCTGGCATGTAGACTTCTTCAATATACTTCAAGTCTGGGTAAACAGTAATGAATGTGCTTGATAAACTAGTCTTCATGGTCACAGAATATCAATTCCAAGTAGGTAAACCTTTGGGAGCTTATTGCAAACAAGTCAAGATATTATCCCTCGATACGGTGGCTGGCTCAATCATACAGTGACTACTGATGAAGCCTGCAGTGCTCTTATGGTAAAGCTACAGACATCCAAGTATTGTAAGCTGATACATAAATCGTGTATTATACAGTATATTGAAATGCTTACACGCCTTAAATGTTTTAGCAGATTTTTTTAATTATTCAAAGAGGT